TTCACAGTTCTGACCTTTCGCTGTCAGAAGAAGGAAAAGGACTCGGTGTTCACTCCTAACTAATGGGGTCTCATAACGAGTGTCACTGACAGAGTGGGAGAAAAAAAATTATAAGGGAGTGACTCTTTTTCGGAAACTGCGGCCACTGAGTTTGATTTCCGCCGAAGATCTACCAGAGCTCACCGATGGTCCTCCGTACCTTCATTGATGTGTGAAATTTAGACAGGTGGGGGGGGGATGATAGGGGGGAAGGGTCGATGGTGCGGACTCTACTCTGCTACCCATGAAAACGCCACATGTTCGTCGCTCCAGCTATCCCGGGGCAAATGTTAACCAGAAATGACTGACCAAATGACCTGGAGAGAAAGTCTGTGGCAATACTTCAAAGAAGAGGGGAAAAAACGAGCCGCTTATTGAATTTTTATGGCGTCCGACATTGAGTCGGTCCCTTGTGTATTTTTCCGAATCTGCAGCGATAGTTGCTAATGGTTAACGTGCAAAGGACTGTGTTGGAGGGCCCTTATTTTAAAAATTAAAAAGAGAGCGATGGAACGCTAGTGAGAGAGAGAAAGAAAGAGAGTGAGAGAGAGAGAGAGGGGACAGCAAAGTCTCTCTTTTTCTTGGCACGGAGGCCGGCTTGCGCTGATGTGGTGAAACATGCCACATACTAAACTGCTGTGATAAATGCTTAATGTGCAAAGTCAACAGCTTTCAACCTCCTAGATAACACCGGAGAACTGTCAGCCAATTCCGCTTTTGTTTTACAGAGAGGAGCCGGAGGCGAGTTGCTGGCTGTCTGCTTATCATATTGTTTATCACTGCGCAAGAACCTCGGAATAGATGACTAGCATCAATTCTCCTTTGTGCTGTTGTTATCCACGGCTGCTCCACTCTGGTCTGGCTTTCAGGCCAATATAATACCGAGGAGACAGAGTCAACGGAGTACGTATAGATCCTGCAGCAGCCATTTTGACACATCTACTAGTGCTAAAAGATTCAGTGAAGACGTTCAGGGTCTGATAATCTATTAGCCTGCAGAACCTCCCAAGATCAAAACATCTCCCTGTTATCCAGACAAAGGTATTCATTTACTCCTTATTAACACAGGGCAGGCTGACAGAACACACATGCGCATTTACAGCAATGCCCGGTTACTGCCGTCCAATGAGTCTTACCAGTCTGTAGTTTTTGGATTGAAAACTGGAGCGCTCAGAGAAAGCCATTACTGACATGTCAAGAACATACAGAGTCCACACAGACGGTCCCAGTCCTTAATTTGAATCCTTTACGTTGTAAGAGAGCAGGGCTAACCACTGCACCAGAGTTGGCTGTCTTACGGTTGAAAAGCACGACTTGTTCAAAACCGGTATGAATCATTCTCCTCCTCAAGAGGCGACTCTGAAACATGACCTTGGAATGGAAGCATAAGTGATCTTTCATTGACCTGATACTCATTTTTAACTACCTTTTAATGAACTCTGGACCACTCCCAAAGTGGAGGAGAGTATTCGGTGGAATGATGGATTGGAGATCGGGGTGAAGGCGATGTTGTATGAACTTGGTCTGTGATTGTGCGAACGTTGGGAGCCCCAGGTGGCGAGACTCAGGGTGGGGCTCGCGTCTTTCATCGGAGTCCATGTGGCTCCTAAGCTCCCCGCGGTCCCAGGTGGTGGCTGTTTCTTGCTTTCTTCTAGGAGAGGGGAAGGGAGGGAGGGACGTAGAAACGAGACGAGCGGGGATTGTGGGAATGAAGGTGGTATATATAGGCATGCGGATGAATAGGAAGGCGCATTTGGAGTGATCTTGTTCATTAAACTTTGTTATCAGGAACACCCTAAGTAATCAAAGAGATGAGTTGTGACAGGTACCTGAAAACGGGCACACTTCAACTTTAGGATTGGAAAAATCTGATTTACGGTGGCAGTATAAATATCCAGGGCGCTAATTCATGAAGGGACTGTTATTTCTCAGGGCAATAATCCGAAAAGTCCTGATAGCTAAAGGACTGCAACCTCAAAACCTGAGACATTCTTGAAGAGCAGTCAATGGGACAAATACCAAATGCCCCATTTCGTTTAAGAATATGGCCGAGTCTGCCACTGCATGAGCTCAATCGAATGTTGACAGCCACCCGAAAAAAAACAAAACTGCTAAAGGAGACATGAGAAACATGCCATACAAAAAAAACTAAGTTACTCTTCTCAAGAAGAGATAAGCAGAGCAAGGGTACAAAACTGGCAACGCAGTGCAGTCGTGGTGCTTTTAAAGGAACGTGACCTTTTGTTGTTCACACAAATGAAAAAAGTGTGGAAGAAAATGTAATAGAAGTTAATGTTTGTCCTTTGGAGTGGCGAACAGAACCACACTCAGATGCAAGGGGGGAAATGGGGAAAGTACGGTTTGTTCTCAAGCTACCTCTGCGTCGCATCAGATGAATCGATGCCGCCCCTGAATTGAATCTTGACTGTTGTCCCTTCATATGAGTTACAGGCTCACTTTCCTGCCTCAAACTAATCAGACAGTAAGGGGGGCTAGTAGGACCAAATGCCCCTTCATGAATAGCCCTTTATGGAAGTTAACAGACAATTTAGTGGCCCCTCGATGACAATATTGTGCCTTCACAAATACGTTACCAGCTCTAGTGTGTAGGTGAGTGTATGCGTATGTGTGTGGGTGTGTGTGTGTGTGCATACCTGCGTTTGTGCGTGCCTGCATGCATGCATGCATGTGTGCGCATGCTTGTTCACATACATATACATGTGTGCATCGTTCTATGCCTGGCTTTGCGAGCCAATGGACAGTGCAGTTTGAGGGAAATTTAGCCATTCACAGGTCAGGTTAAAATCCCACGAGTCACAATGCCTTTTTTTTATCAAGTGAGGTAGAATAAACTTGTTCATCAGCTGCTATGTCTGACTAATTCAGATAGGTCATTGCCTGAATAACCAAATTTGTTGGCTACAGTTGCAGCTGGTGAACCGAAAATGGGTGAAGCACAGAGTTTCCCTTCGAAATAATGATTGGTCTTGACCTGTTTTCGATCATTTATTTAAATGGGCATTGCTTGAACTCCAAAAACACATGGGACCATTAGGTGTTACCAGTTCTCTTTATCAAGGTAAGACCAGCACTATGTCTTGGTCTGTATTCAATTATTTTCTTTGATAAGTTTTCTAATGATAAGAATACACCATTGGCAGTTGAACACTTGGCTTCCTTCTTAATGCTATGTCACAAGGATTATATAGATAATGTTGATATTAATTTTACAAAAAAGATAAACTAGGCTACCATGTTGACTTCTATGTTTGCATTAAGCACATCCTGCACTATCCCATCTTAGCTCCATGATTTTTAAAATGACAATAAAGAAAGCAAAAATTAATCTCAAATATCTGCAAATGAGTCATTGATTGAAATGCAATTTTCAGTCAAAATGATGCTTTTTTTTCTCCCGTGTTACCTTAATGAGGAAAATGGGTCACGCTTGATGATGTTGAGTGTTTTCAGAATTTAAGTAATGTTAATTTAAATGATTGATTAAAAACTGGTCAAGACCGATCAATATTTTCAAGAGATGTTCTGTGCTTCATCAATTTTCAGCTGTCCAGCTGCCACTGGTTGATTCTCACCTGATGTCTCTGATAAAGTTGACAGTTATTGGCTCATATCCTTGACTAAGTCAGATAGGCTGTTAACTGCTATCCTTGATCAAATCAGGTAGTTTAAAGTCTGATATCCCAAACTCAGGTAGGTGATTGGCTGAAATCCTTGACAAACTCAGGTAGGGTACAGCTTAATATCCTCCAATTAGCTAGTAGGCTGTTGGCTAATATCATTCACAAACATTAATAAATTATCGACTAATACTGCTGATTAACTCGGGTTGGTTATCACCCTTAATTCCGAACAAACTGAGGCTTTTTCAAGTATTCCAGATGTACACTTATCCTTTCATTACATCAGTAAAACTAAAATTAGCATGAAGGAGGCCATACCCAGGGCCTCAGCTAAGCTGGCCTGGGGGCTTAATAAGTCAACGAAAATAAGGAAAGTTGTTATGAAGTTGTTTATTAGCGACTCTTCAAGTCGGCTTTGGGGCTTTGTAGTCGGCGCCTTTGACTGCTTTGATGACACCGGTCTGAAGTTCAAAGGTCACACATTTCCTGGCCCAGCTTCAAAATCACCAGTGAATCAACAGGAGTGTGATGCGTGTTTGCGTATTTGCAAGCATACATCTTAGTGCTCACATACTGTACATGAGTGTCTTTTTGCTTGCATGTGCACGCCTAATAAATCCTACCTGCTGTCTTTAGTTGTTCTAGTCGTTTAATTCACCATGTAAATTACACCATGTAAACTTGACTGATACTGATCCCTGCTGTCTTACACAAATTGCATAGTTGTTTTTGCAGGCTCTGTGGCGCAATGGATAGCGCGTTGGACTTCTAGACACAGTTACTACAGAGATATTCAAAGGTTGTGGGTTTGAGTCCCACCAGAGCCGCACACTTTATATCTACTGTGTGATATAAACTTTATCTGGGTTCTGTGATGAATATAATTAAGTGAAACTTTACATACACTGTACCTGATCTGGTGATCCTCAGTATGTAGCAGCACCAATGACCTTGGAGTATACAGGTGATAAAAGCGTCTGGTAAATAAATGTAATGCAAAGCCTGCTCATATGGGTTTCTATAAGCTTGACACATTACACTGGGCTTTGTGGTACAATGGATAGTGCATCAAACTTCTAAATTGCGGTAAAGAGGAGACAATCAAACGTTGTGTGTTTAGGTCCCATCAGAGTCATATCCTGTACTTCTCTCTTAAATAATCGCCCTTCTCTGTATCGATGAGCATGGATAAGTGACCTGCAGTCTGCACCTATAGCCTTGCATATATGCAGGTGCTGTACATAGCCTTGGATAAAGGCATCTACGAAATAAATCTAATGTAGTGCGTGTGTTTCTCTTTAAGCTCGTTTCATTACACTGGCCTCTGTGGTGCAATGACTAGCATGTTGAACTTCTAGACAGAGATAAAGAGGAGACATTTAAAGGTTGTGGGTTCAAGTCCCGCCAGAGTCATATCCTGTTCATTTCCCTTCCAAAAATAGACTTCATCTGTAACATGAGCAGGGATAAGTGTCAGAAAAGAGACCTGCAAAGTGTGCCAATGGCCTTGTGTGCAATAAAGCGCTTGTTCATCACAGTGGATAAAAGCATCTGACAAATAAACTAAGAATATCACTTAATGTTGTGTTTTTCTGCAACTGACCTGCAGTATGCCTGTCTTTGTGACGCACTGGATAAATGGACTTGTAAATGGTGACAATGTGGTGACATCTACAAGGGTTCCAGTGGCACCAGAATCATCAGGCTGTACTTTATCTGAGATGTAATGAGTATTTTCTGCACAAATTTGCAGAAAGAAAATTTCTGCACAAGTTTCTGTTGCTCATTGGCTAGCGCATTGGACTTCTCACTAGCAGCAAAATAGTGATTCAAAAGTTGTGGGTTTGGTTGCAGCACTTTTATATACCACATGGCCTAGACTCAGAGATCATTGGTACAGACGTGAGATACTTCATGTAAATCATTCCATATCTGACCCATGTTAATGGCTTTTTCCACTGATTTTCTGTACAAACTGTATCCTACTATAGCTTGAAATAAATGTTTTTGACTGCTTGTATATTTGGGAATGTATTATGACATATTTTAAAAAATTGTTTTTTTTGTATGTATGTATTGTGTGTGCAAGTGTGTTCGTGAGTGCGCATGTGAGTGAGGGATCTCTTACGGTCTTTTATCAATGACTGATCCACTGTTTCGCCTCTGTAATATAGCCTACCATCCCTCCCACACACACACACACATACACACAGGTGGGAGCTTCAGAGCTAATGAGATCAAAGCTACAACATGCCGCTACACTCGTTTCTCAATGACTATAAATAATTAAAGTGCATGAATCATTCATTCATGCCACAACATGGCTGTCACTATTGAAAAGGGGGAGCAGGAGGAGTAGGGGGCGGGTGGGGGGTGGGAGGGGCGTGTCAAAAATGCTTGTGATGAAAACAAATTTTACACCAAGAATAGTTCTAATGTTCACATAGCAACAAGCACTACACCCATATATTAGAACTTTCACCGCTGTTTTCTTTGCTGGAAAGTTAAAGAAGCTTCACAGTGCTTTTCAATGCTTGGCAAAAGCAGTAAAAGTATGTTTGGCTCCCAACTAACACTTTTTATAAGTTATAGTACTCTGTTCTTTAAAGAGTACTTAAACATGGGCAGAAAGTATGCCTTGTACCAACTCGTAAAAATAACTGGATGAGCTTTAAATAAATAATGTAATGCTAAAAGGATTAAAGTTAAATAAGCCGAACGGCGCCTGTCTTTGCCAGGGACATCTCCATAGACTCCGAACATTATGCATGCTCTTTGTTGGAGTCAAACCCCCCCACCGCCATACCGCCATCTCGTTTGACATTGTGAATCTGCTGCTGACATTACCATGTAACTTCAATACAAAAAGTCAATCCCCAACCAACCTCCCCAATTCCCATTACCCACCCTCTCCCCCTCACCCCACACACACACACACACACATAAAGAGAGGTGTCTACATTCCATAAACAAAGCGTGTGTATTACAAAGCTGTTCAGCCCCGTCTGGGGCTCGACATGAAGATGAGAAACCCTAGAACATGAAACAAAGCGCGTATCAGAGGGGGGTCTCTGACAGCATGTAACGTCAATGGCGGGAACGCGGCGCGGAAGTCGGGAACTCTGGGACATCCTGGTTTGCGGCACAAATCAGCAGGAGGTAGACAGCTTCGATTTTCCATGATAATCCCCCCCGCAATGGAAAAATCTGGAGAGTTGCATTCCTTTACCACGGAAATGTAAATTTGTCCTAGTAAACAATGAGGCTAATTCAGTGGGGGCTGAATATTTATGAGGAATTTGGCTACTTTTCTCACAAACACAATCTGTCAGATGAATATGGGGATTGCCAGGCTAAGGTGAATTACCTCTAATATACGGACTATTTCCACTGAATTGCCACAAGTCAAATCTATTTGTGCATTCATAGTTCATTAAGCTGTGCATTCTTCAATAATCATGTGCAAACCACAAACTGGTGGTGGGAAAAAGTATATGTTCATATGCAATCAAGCACACACAAGGTTCAGACTCAGTATGCATACTGAATTTCACATCGCATTATTTTGCTGATGACCCAGAACTTCTTGCAGTTAATGAGACAAAGCAGGGTCCAATCTCCTGAGGAACAAAGGGCCTTGTTGGGGTGCAACAGTCGCACTGCTAAGGCTAAGGCTACATGTAGGCTTGAGCAGGCAAACCTTCCAGTTCCCAGTTAAGCTCCTCATCTACAAGTGTACAAGCGACACCAAAATACTGAAACTGTAAAAAGTTAAAAATCCAGATGGACCACACTGACCCCCGGCAGTTTAGCAGCACCAATCCCAAGTGTTCCCATTCTCAGTGGGCCCCGGCCAGCCCCCCCTTACCCCCTCCTGTCCCAGTTTGACCGCGACACCAAACACCATCTCCCACTCTGCATCCCCCAAAACCTTCCCATGCGCTCATCGTGTGCTGCGCTGGCAAACTGCAGCCGATACCTGAGACCACAGGGGTGTATCCGTGCTCCTGCCCCTGTCTGTAGAGCCTGAGAGAAAGAGAGAGAGGCCTGGGCTGTTGATGGAGGAGTGGGGTATCGCGTTACACCCCTAACCTCCAGGCATTTTTTTTTTTTTTTTTGGGGGGGGGGGGATGTTGGGATTACCTTAGCTTGGGGCTGTGTACTGTATAGCAAGGACTTCTGATGCGATAATGTAATTCCACCCACCCACTCCTCAAACCCACCGGTAAACCCAATTATAAGGGCCTTCTTTCCCGTGGAACCAGCCTCCCCAATGCCTTGACTGTGGTAAGCAAGCCTTTTTAGCCACTGGTTACATCCATGTTTTCCCATTTCTCCTTATTGTGCGCGCGTGTGTGTGTGTGTGTGTGTGTGTGTGTTTGTGTTTCGGTGGCCCATCTGTGCCCAAAAGCACAGGAATGTCAAGACAGAAAACACAAAATAATAAGGACAGTGGTTTCGAGAACAGGTCACTGAGCACATCCAAGGTCATCTCCTCCCCATTGTCTGCAGAGTATCGAGTGCTCACAAGGGTCACGTAGACTGGGTTACCTCACACAACAGGGCACCGGTTTCTGTTCATTACGGTCATTACTGGTCTCTCTCTCTGTCCCTCTCTCTCTAGTTCAGCAACTGTATGGTTTCTCTTCCAGCTGTCTCCTGTCTCTGTGGCAATCGCTGAACCTCCCCCCCCCACCAGTCCGCTTGATGGACATCTGTTCCCGTGGTACCACGCTAGGCTAACACTCACCAGCTGTTTGGCTATTGTAAAGGTGCTTAACAGGATTACGGCGCGAGGATCTGTAATCTTACCGCACTTAAAGAGAACAGAAATGAAGGTTAACCTGAGAACCTCATGGATGACGGGACACCGAGGGGAAATCAGAAACTGGGGAGGGAGGAGGGTGTCTATCTGGGGAGAATATTATCTGTGCCTCCCCCCTCTCCATCCTTTGTCTATAAGCTCTTCCAGTTTGGAAGTTATCTGCAGAAGATCCAATCTTCTGATCTAATCGCCGCTGAGCGTTGAAAAGGCGTTGGGTTTAGTTTTAAATCACTGCGAGGAAGACCAAATTTGAATTTAACGAGCATGAAAGAGATATGGATTATCAAACGAAGAGAGAATGGAGTTCACAGGGTCAAAGGCCAGTTCTGAGGCAGTTTTGAGCTCAGGTAATTTCCCCTTTTGTGTCATAATTTTCTTTTACTACATTCTATTTTGCCCCTCTATCAACAATAATGCATATTGATTGGAGAAAGGGAGGAGCCTAGTATCTCCAAAGTAGCCATTGTGGCTACAAGGGTTTAACGGCTGTTAATCTGTGGGATGGGATCGGGGTGGCAGTCGTGGTATTTTCTGGGGGGAGATTTTTCACCCACCACTGAACTTTGGGGGGGCGTAGAGTTAGCAGGATGTTGAGGATGTATACTGTTTTTATTTATTTTCCTTCATTACAGGGAAGTCCCACTGAGACCGAGGTCTCTTTTTCAGGGGATCCCTGAATACAATAAAACAAATCCAAAGTGTGTGACAGACAGAGCATAATAAAATTCACACAATTACATGCAACAACTGCAGAATAAAGAAAAACAAACTTTAAAATACAGTTAAAATAAATAAAAATAATAATAATAATAAAATAAATAAATAAAACATTCAAGTGCAAAGGACAGAGAACAAGTTCAAGGTTAAAACTAAAGGCAAGTACATCTGGCCTCCTCAAGTAACATCTCCCACAGTCGATTTTTGAAGGAATCAAAGGGAATGAGACAGTCAAGCTTCAGAGAGTCTTGGCATCTATTCCAGACATAAGGTGCAAATGAGCTAAAAGCAGAACAGCCCAAATTTGTCCTAGTCCTGGGTGACTCTAACAAAATCCACCCTTGCGATCTAACATGCTGGTTTCGGATTTTAAAGGACAAAAGCCTAGTTAGATATTAAGGAAGCTTGCCAAGCAATGCTTTATAAATAAATAAAATACAATGGAGCTTCCTTCTAAAATAAAGGGAAAACCACCCAACAGAACTATATAACACACAGTGATGAGTGCGGAAACAATCTCCAGTGATAAAACGCAGAGCGCTGTGATAAATAGCGTCCAGAGGTCTTAAAGTACTATCAGAGGCATGCATGTAAATGATATCCCCATAATCAAATAAAGGTAAGATTGTTGCCTGGACAATCCTCTTCCGACTGTCTAAAGAAAAACAAGACCGGTTTCTGTAAAGAAACCCAATTTTTGTTCTGATTTTCTTGGACAAGTTAGACACATGAGTCTTAAAGGAAAAATCATGATCCAGCCGGATACCCAAATACTTGTAAGACTGAACTTGCTCAATTTTAGCATCAGACACCGAGAAAATTGAATCATTTGGCATAATTGCATTCCGAGCAGAAAAAAACATGAACTTAG